AACCACTGTGAGGAGGTGCCCAGCTGAAGCAACTTCCAAGTCTTTTTGGCCTTTGGTGTCGTCCTGATCTTTGTCCCTGCTCATGACCATTGTCCCCACTCCCATAAACACCCAAGTTTGTGGTTTTAAGTCCTTCTTGGGGGGGAGGCAATGGCCTAGTGGTATTATCGCTGGACTGTTAATCCAGAGACCTGGATAACATTCTGGGGACCTGGGTTCAAATCCTGCCACAGCAGATGGTGAAATTTGAATTCAATAAAAATATCTGGAATTAAGGATCTAATGATGACCGTGAATCCATTGCCAATTGTCGGTAAAAAAACCCCATCTGATTCACTAATGTCCTTTAGGGAAGGAAATTGCCATCCTTACCTAGTCTGGCCTAAATGTGACTCCAGACCCGCAATGTGGTTGACTCTGAACTGCCTAAACTCTGGGCAATTAGAGATGGGGAGTAAATGCTGCCTGGTCAACGATGTCCTTCTCCCATTAACGAATATTAAAAAAAATTGCTGTTTAATGTTGTTCTGCTCAGTAGAGAACATGATGTACAGAATGGATGAGGAAATGTCACACTTTCTCCTGTGCAATGGTTGCTCAAAGAAACCCAGTAAGCCCCCCTGCCCCATCCTCTCATCGCACGATCCAGGCACAGGAAACAGGTTGGGATCCTGTATGTTCCCTGGAACACAGCCCCGTTTCCATGGAAACAAACAGATCTAGAGGAAGTGGCCTGATTGGGGACAGGTTCTGCTCCAGTGAAGGTTGATGGGGGTGAAAATTGGCCAATTACAGACTGTTGCTATCAGAGAAACGGGGCAATAATGGACTGTCACCTTTCACCTTTCATGGACTAAAATGGGTTTTAAAAACAGAGACAGAAATGAAGACTTAAAATGGCTGCTGTGATCACCTGACCACAGATTGAGGCAAGCTTCACAAGACCCATGTGGAATAAACATCTGCAGAAAAATGACTCTTCTTATCTAAAGACATTTAAATCCATCTTCCACGTCATCAGGGGGTCTAAGATGGACCATGTCTGCAGGAACACCATGTGCAAGACTCTGGATGTAGGAGGAGGAACGTACCCAACATCATCCTCACCCCATCCCGATGGCCATCTTTGTGTGTGGCTGCATGACTCTGTGTGTAGACCATCGGTACGCAACCACCAAGTATCACTACGTACTGAGGTTCTACCTGTCCCCGGTGTTGTGAAGGATGGGACTGGCCTCGCTCCAAATAGTTGGACAGTTCTGTATCACCTGTCCTTCGTGGATACATTTGTGAAGGAAAACCCCTTTGACCACAGTCCATCAGGAAGTGATGTACGTACCATCCTCGAGACCATGTGGTAAAAGGAGAGGGTGGATCCTGTCATGTGGTTCCCTGAGCAGACTGTCAAAGTCATTTGGCAGAATGTCTCATCACCAGAACTTTCCAACAAGCACCAGGACATCACTTGGCTGGTGGTGAGAAGGGCACTACCTGTGAGATCCTTCATGTACACCCGGTCGGTCTGTGCCACCACACGCTGCCCTCGAAGCAGCTTCAGTGGGGATCGAGACTCACACACCTCCCGCTGGAATGTGCCTTTGCAAAGGATGTCTGGAGAGAGATGCAGTGGTTTTTGTTGAGCTTTGTCCCAATCAACTCTGTGATTCAGGACTATTGTCTGTTCCCTGGGACGCACACTGAGACAAACATTGACTGTGCCTGGAGATGAAAGACTCTCTTTGGTCTGCCCAAAACTTGTTGGTCTTCCAGAACAAGAAGTTGACCCTGACTGAGTGTTGAAGACTGGCACATTCCAAGGCCCAGGACTATGTGCTGAGGGAAACACTAAAGCTTCTTTCTGCCAAAGTACAATGGGAGTCCGTTCAGTTATCGGACCCTCCCTGTGCCTCAAATATATGTAAATAGTATCTTGCATGAGTAAGAGATA